GTGTGTGTGTGTGTGTGTGTGTGTGTGTGTGTGTGTTTGTGTGTGTGTGTGTGTGTGTGCGCGCCTGCAAAGCAGAGGGAGGACTCTGAGATCATTGTTTAGGTAGCTTGCTGCATAATGAGGTGAGGAGCAAACAGAAGGGTCTCCTCCTTCCTGATGGAGCTGGTTGTTCTCAAAGGGTGGGAGTCCAGGAGCGCTAGGGATTGCAGTCCCTGGGGACTTCAACATTCCAAAGTAGACCCATTCCCCTTTGGAAGCTTCTCTCCCCTACCCCATCTTCCACAATGAAAGAAGGTCTCTTTTCTCCTTTTCAAATTTGGGGTTCCATTTCATATTCCACTTGGCATAAAGGTAGCTTGAGTAACAGGTTTCTTTGGGGGAGCCGAATTGCCTCTTTGGCTGCTGTCCATGGTCCTGGGCCATGAGCGTCTCTGAGAACGCAACTCCTATTTTTTTCCTCTTTCATTGGGATGCTGGAGACTTCTTTTTCACGTCTTCCAGTGGTCTCGTTTTAAAATTCCTTTCTATGTTGAGGACAAATGGTGATTTAAACAATACTGTCACAGAACAATGGAGCTGTGACTTTGATTTCACAATTTACGTATCTGATCTCATGTACTCCTAGCTCTATTATATCGTTTCTGACAACGGCAAAATACCACTTCCCCTTGCTGGGAAATTGGGAGAATCCTCCGATCCTACACAAGTATCTTTTGGGGACACTGGTTTGCCATTATGAACTTTTTGAGTGTCCACCTGGCATTAGCTGCAGTGACCAGAACACGGGTTTTCTCCTATGTTGATACTAATTCCTCTTTGTAAGTCTCCCTGGACCAGTCAGAGGATCAGAAGCTTTGGGGGTAGGGGTGACAGGGGGCAGGCTAGATACCCTGACCTAGTCCCATGGGAGCTGACAGAAAGAGGAAGTTGATGTCACAGTGTCATTTTAAAGCTTACACAGAACGTTTATTTTTGAAATTTTAATCTGTTCTCTCAACACCTATTTACTGAGCACCTACGATGTGCCAGGTTGTAGAACCCCATCTGGGAAGACTTACTTATTCATTTGTTGGAGGGGCAGCCCTGCTTGGAACAAACAATGCTACATGTCCCTTCTCAGTCTGGTTCACAGTTTTTAACAGATTTGTCAGGTCATTGCTGTGACTCCAAGCCTTGCTGGCAGATTGTTCTATAGTATTTATATTTACCGAGCGCCACACGATCATGAAAGCAATTAAAGAGCCTACAATCTTAACTCATTTCCAGCGAACGAAGAGACTGGTTCTTGCCGCTTCACACAGTCGTGAGAGCTGTTTGTGGAGTGCTCACTGCTCCCGAGCACTGGGCTAGTGCTTTACACACGTCCCCCTCAGCTATTCCTCACCCCTACTCTGGAAGATAGTACTGCTATTATTCCCATTTTACAGGTGAGGAAGCTGAGGCTCAGAGGTTATGCAACGTAGCTTAGCCTAAGGCCACACAAGGAGTGAAGTGGCTGAGCCAAGATTTGGACTCAGGTCTGTGTGATCTCCCAAGCCCATGAGCTGACGGTCCTGTTAGGCTAGGTCCTTCCTGAGCTGGTCCCAAGGCATTGCTAGCTAGTTCAAGGGCAAGCCCTAGCCGGGGGCCCTTCAGGGAACAGGAAAGCCTGACGTAGGACGATTGTGTATTGTATTTGGGGACACTGCAGGGCGGGCTAGATGGTTTACTTGGGGCTTATGTATTTGTCCCCTGCCCTTTGTGTTCCTGATTTCTAGAAGGTCCCTGGGAGGAGCATCGATTTGCACACAGGGCCTGTGTGACTTACTTCCTAGGACATGGGAAGCTTTTCGTACCTCTTTCCTGTCCCCTCTCCCACCTGAACCCTCAAGTTCTCCCCAAGGTCTTTTGCACTATAAGCGCCCAGGAGCCTGTGTGTGTATGGGGTGGGGATGGTTGTGGGGTGTTTGGAACCTCGGTGAGGCCTCTGGCCCGGCTGGAGAGGCAATAAAGCTTGGGGACATTCCGTTCTGGGTTCTGACCTTGCTGGTTCATTTGCTCTTTTGTAAGAGGAATTTCATACCTTGGAGATGCTTTGTACATATTTGTAATGACTTTATTAAAAAACTGGTTGTGCGCTTCCAGCCAAAGACCTCTGTGTTTTCATTTCTTTGTGGAAGGTTGGGCCCTAAAGATGACAGGAGGCTCTAGCTGCCCACCCCAACCTTCCCTGGGGCTGAAGGCCACAAACTCACCTCCCTTCTTTCCCTTGTATTTCTGAGAAACGCCCCCAAAGGGAGGGTTGGCATAAATAGTTACCCTTGGACCGCGGTAACTTATCGAACAGTTCAAGGTCAGTGCACAAAGCCATCACTTAGGTACGTCATCAGGTAGACATGCTAATGAGCCTGCAGGTTGATGTCTCCAACTACAGGCAAATGGCCACTCGGGTAGGGTACTCTGGCCTGCATTTACCTGGTCTGAGATGTACCAAAAGACCAAGTTCTAGAATCTTCCTAAGAATAGTGGGTTGAGGACAGGTTGTTCTCCTAGAAAATAGATCCTGTCTTTGTTTTGGTGGGTCCTCCCCTCCCCCACTCAGTCCACGTGACTGAGAGCAGTTGACTCCCACCTCTGTCCCCACCTCCTGGGCTCAACACCTGACCCAGGCCTGGCCGGCGTTCCGTTTCCAAGGCTAACGTGACTGCTTTGGGGACAAACTAACGAGTCAGCCTCGGACTCCTGCTGGAGCTTTGGGGAAATAGAAGCTCTCTTTGCTGGGCTTGAGAAGATGGTGGAACATAAGGAGAAACTGCTGCAGGCCCATCTTACTACCACATGGGATCCGACTGCCTGAAAATCAAACCATCAGAGGAAAACAGAATCGAGGGCTGGAAAGCCACGAGTCTAATGTAATCACAGGAGCCCCTGAATCCAGCTGTACCTGAAGCCCATACTGTTACACGAACCAAATCAAGTCCTTCTCTCATTTAAGCCACCACTGAGTTGGTTTTCAAGTAATCGCAACCCCAAAGTTCTGCCTGATGACGTTTTTGTGATGGCTTCATACTAGTGCCCCGAGAATTGTCACCGAGGGCTGCTACAGTTGACCCTTGAACACCACGGGTTTGAACTGCACGGGCCCACTTCTATGCCTATATTTTCAGTAAGTACTGTAAATGTATTTTCTCTTCCTTAGGGTTTTCTTAACATTTTCTTTTCTCTACCTTACTTTATTGTTAGAATACGGTCTATAATACACATAACATACAAAATACGAGTTAATCAACTATTTATATTATTAGTAAGGCCAACAGTAGGCTATTTAGTAGTTAAGTTTTGGGGGAGTCAAAAGTTATATATGGATTTGTGACGGCACAGGGGGTTGGCACCCCTCACCCCCGTGTTGTTCAAGGGTCAACTGTAATTAACATGGAAAATATCCATCATGATCTGGCCCCTGGAAAACCCTTCTTACATCAGCCTATACATTCGGGTCCCACGATCTACAGTGAACCACCCACACCCAGATCCCTTCAGATCCCTTCTACCAGTTCTGTGTTTCATCCGGCACCTCATGTGCTCTGTGGCATAGGACACAGTCAGAGACTTGGGGCCTCCTCAATGGAGAGCCTGAGAGGTCCCCTCCACCCATCAACCCCATAGCCAAGGACTGACTGACAGTGTGGAGTACAAAAATCTCAGGGTGGGACAAACTCCGAGGTGTAACGGACACTCCAGAGCCCCCTGCGGTACCCAACTGAGCCGCCATTTCTCAGAAAGGCGCCCTCTTGTTTGGTCTCTTCTCCTTCCCCCGTTCCACTCATCCCTTGCTGGTTTCTCCGGGGAGCACTTCCTTAATAAATCACGTGCCACTCAAGGGGCTCTGCTTTGGGGAAAAGCCAACATCGGCTGTCCACCCAGGGCATAAAGTGCTCCTTTGCGTTTCTCCTAAACAGTTCCACCTGGCCTCAGGAGGCGACGGGAGACTCAAGACCACGGACATACGTTTCGTCGACAGATGATATTTATTGGCGGAATGGAACGTTGGGGGACGTTAAAAACACCAAAGGCGGCTCTGTCTGGCCCAGAGCAAAAAGTACTGAGAGATTCCAGGGCTCGCTTCACACTTCCTCTTTCCAGCCGGCGTCTGAGCCGCCTGGAGTTCTTCCAATGCCTCTCCCTCTCCACTTAGGAAGGTGATGAACCTGTTCCATCCAGGCTCAAAGCGTGCCTTTTGATTCCCTCGCATTTATTACGCTCAAGGCCTTTTACATTAAGAGGGCCATGGCCAAGGACTTCGTGGAACTTGAGTCAGTGAATCATAAAATATGAAGAGCAGGGTACTCCCATCTGATACTCGATTAATTCGGCTTACAACAAATGAGATTCAGCGCCAAGACAGGTGAGGGAGACTGGCATTGTTCTTTCTCCCCAATGGTGACTCTTGGCTGTTGGGACACTTGTGTTGGGGAACACACACACGGGCTGATGTTTGGAAAACCCTGCACTGGCCACTGTGCCTCCCTAGAGCAGAAGTGAAATCCTCCCATCCGAAAGAAAATCTCTGAACAGGACTTCTCCCCGGAGGGCAGGGGATAAATAAATAAAATCCTAAACTACATCATCCCACCTGGCCCAGAGTGTCTCCTACATGTGAAGCTGTCATGTCAGAGGCATGGCTTGTTCTTTGCAGAATGCCAGACTCTTTTTTTTCTTGGCGTGGCATGAGTGTAACTGACAAAAACCATGGGTGTATTCCCCAGTAGTCAACATTGTTAGTTGCCCTGGATCCAGGAGATAATACACTAGGTTTTCGTCACCCTGGAGGTGGCTACAGGGAGGTGAAGTGATTTCTTGAAGTCGTGCAGTTTAGCATCAGAATTCCAGGCCTGATTCCCAAGAGAACGCTGTATCTGCCCCTTCACACGCTGTCCCTCTAATAAGCCTTCTCCAGCTCCCAATGGCTCTCGCCTCTTTGATGGCATCTGCAGGCAGGGAGAGCTTTCTGATAAAAACCAGCTGCAGAAGCTCCTGTTGCTTGCCTTTGGTTCTTCTTCAAGGCGCGCATGTGTGTGTGCATGTGCGTGTGTGTGTGTGTGTGTGTGTGTGTGTGTGTGTAAGGGGGACAGAGCAGCCACGTCCACCAGGTCCTATTTCCCTCCGCTTCCCCTTCCGACTTGATTATCCAGGCAAGTGGGATTGTAACATCACGGCCATTGCCATAGTAACAGAGCTTGAAAGATGCCACGCTGCCCTGGAAGGGATGTCTTGCTGGGTACCAGAAGAGAGCCAGGGATGTCAGGGGAAAAAAAAAAAAAAAGGTCCTGACTTGATTGCACTGACGGGCACATGTCCTGAGTCTACTGGGGATGGGGTGTGGGCATATTCATACTGTCTGAGAGCAGGGTGGCAGCAAGATTCCCACCATTTCTTCTGGGGCTTTCTTGCTAATCCGCTCACAGCCACCCAGATTGCTTTCTCTGTAACGCCGCGCCAGCCTGTTGTGCTGAGGTTGACAATGAGAGAGGAGAGTTGGGAGAGGGGTAGGGCAGGCAAGATTCCCGGGGCTTCTATGTGATCACCTATGTCATCTTCTCCCAGATTTCAAAGCAGGGAGGGAGGCTGTTCCGTCGTGGAGATTGGTAGCTGTTACAGAGATTACAGAAACACTGAGGGCTTTTGTGCTCTCTGCCACCACTCTGGCTTGTGGACAAATCCATAACGTAGATCGTCCCTTTTGCTCTGAAGGCTACCGGGGAGAAGTGACGTTCAAAGGGGCTGTTGACAAGCCTGCGACTTCAGAGAGGGAGAGGACAAGAATAGGAGGAGGAGAGAAATACAGATGGGTGTGGAGACCCAGTGGTATCTGCCTTTGGGCCGAAGCTGGCCTTTTGGGGACCCACACACGACTGAGCAATCCCACCCAGCCCAGAGCTTGGGAAAATAGCCATTTTCGGGCCATGTCTTTCTGGGGGCCCAGCCACAGTTCGGTTTCAGGAGCTAGCATTCACCATTAACATTCTGAGTGCACCTGGGCCACCGTGGACATCAAAACCGCCTCTTGTGTTTTTTTAAAAAAAAAAAAACAAAAAAAAACACGTTTGCCAGGCCCCACGCCTGCAGTGTCTGAGCAGCGGGTCAGCACGGTGGTTAAGAGTGCGGGCTCTGAAGCCAGGCAGGCCTGGGCTGGAAACTCCACTCACCATTGCTAGCTGGGTGACCCTGGCATAGCTACCACACCGAGCTCTGTGCCTCCGTTTTCTCAGCTGGACCATGGAGGAAACAAGCCCCGAGCTGTTGTGAGGATCACAGGAGGTCACCCAGGCAGGACGCTCGATGCCATGCCATGCCTGGCTCACTCTAAATGTCCGATACACTAAGTTATTGTCGGTATAAGGTGGGGCCCGGCATTTGGGTTTGAAAAAGACTTCACAGTGATCCTAATCTGTAGACCTGGGCTATCTGGGGGGAGGCAGTGATCTCTAGGCCCTGCCCCAGGTGGCAGCATCCGATATTTTGGTCGCCTCCAATTAAAACAAGCTGCGACAGGTGGGGCCCTGACTATTCCCGGTTCCTTGACTTGGAGGTGGTAGGAGACCTACCTGGGAGGAGACCCAGTCTGAATTAGGAGGTTTCCTCTTTGGAGGGGAAGGATGCACACACCGGACCCCAGATCGAGAGGAAGGTGAAGGTGGGGAGGCCAGGGGCCTGGCTTTAGGGGAGCAGGTGGAGAAAGGCGGGAGGCGGGGAGGTCCATCTTACGGCCTGTTTTCCCAGAAGTCCGCAGAGCTGGACCCAACGACACTGGACCTCCGCCATCTCCCTGGGCGTGCCAGTGCTTTGGCCCTAATACACCTGGAAATGTGCAGAAGTGGCCCCGTCCTTCCAGCAGCGCAGGGTGTCCACGGCAACGGAGCGGCAGAGTGGGCAGGTGCGCTCGCGGTCCAGCCAGAGGCAGAGGCATTCCTCACAGAACACGTGCTGCGGGGACAGCAATGAGTGCCACCAGGGCTGCTTTAGCGAGCGTCCACCTTGGTCTCAGGAGCTGGGGATGCAGCAGTGAACCAAACTGACAATTCCTGCCTTCAGGGAGCTTGCACTGGAGTTGGGGGGACAACTGGCAAAATGAATCTCTAAAATGTAGAACGTGTCTGTTGCAAGTGCTAAGATGGAAAGCAGGGAAGAGGGGACAGGGCACGCTTGGGAGAGCTGCAACGTTAAAACAGGTGGGCCGGGAGGACGTCACTGAGATGTTGACATTTGGGTAAAACGTGAGGAGGGTCGGGAGTGAGTCCTGATGATATCTGGGAAAAGAGTGCTTCAGGCAGAGGGGGCAGTATGTGCAAAGGCCCTGAGGCAGGAGTGTGCCTGGTGTGCGGGAGGAACAGCAAGAAGAGTGTGGCTGAGCCTGGAGTGGTGCGTGAGATGGGGAGATGAGGCCAGAGAGTTGGCGGGGGTGGGGGGTTGCAGATTGCATAGGACCTTGTGGGCCACTGTGAGGGCTCTGGCTTTTATTCTGAGAGAAGTAGGGAGCCATGGCAGGGCTCTGAGCAGCAGAGTGGCTTGATATGATTTGCATTTGTAAAAGATCCCTCTGGCACCTGGGTTGAGAACAGACCACAGGGATCAGGAGAAATGCAGGGAGGCTGGAAACAACGGGGTCCACCACTTTCTGGCTATGACTTGGACAAGTGATTTAACCTCCCTGTGCCTCACGTTCCTCATCTGTAAAATGGGGATCATAGTACTCCCCTCATAGGAAGATTAACTAACGTTAAAAGCACTTAGACATGACAATCAAATGAAGTATGTAAGTCTTGATCGGATCCTGGATGGGGGGCAAAACCCTAGCTATGAGGGATATTTTTAAGACAACTGGAGAAATTTGAGTACTGGCATTTTATATCAATTTAACATTTCCTGGGTGTGATAGTGGGATTGTGGTTATGGGAGAGAATGCCCTTGTTCTTGGGAGATGTATGCGGAAATATTTAGGGATGAACAATCAAAATGTCAGCAGCTTATACGCAACAGGTTTAGCGGGGAAAATTCGCAAGAAAGGCAAATGTGGTAAAATGTTAACGGTTAGTGAATCTACACGAAGGACAAAAGGGTGTTCATTCTACTATCCTTCAACTTTTCTGTAGAGTTGCAATTTTTCAAAATAAAAACTGTGGGGACAGTGTTAATATAAAAATCTAGGCAATATTTTTAAAGTAAAAAATAAATAAGGAAAGAAGGCCATTAGAACAATGCCTGGCAAATAGTAAGTGCTCTATAAGTGTTGCTATTACACAGCAATAGTTTTTATTACATTCTGTCTGTCTCTTTTCTGTCTCTCTATGCCAAACCAGAAGCTTCTTGTAAACCCATTCCTAGCATGGTATGCAGTAGGTGCCTAATTGTGGATAGTGATCTCAAGGAGCTTCATGGTGCTATATGGGTATGTAACAGGGGGACCCGTTTTATTAGGGGGGCGGGCCTCCAGGAAGGCTTCCTGGAGGTGGGGACACTTGTGTTGAGGATTGAAAGATGTATAGGAGTTAAGTGGGTGAAGGGAAGGGGTGGAGACAGAGTATTTCAGGCTGAAGGGAAGAGCTGTGCAAAGCTGAGACGGGAAGGCATCTGAGGCACTCAAGGACAGCCACTGTGGCTACAGTGAGGTGGGTGGAGGGCAGCAGGGGAGAGAAGGTGAGCAGGCCTCATGGAACTCGAAGGCCATGCCCGGATCCTCACCATGGTCTGGAGGGCAGGACCCAGGGGTCAGCAGGCCCAGCAGCTGCCCATAAGGCCAGCGACTGTTGCTGTTGCATCCCCACTGCCCAGCCCCAAACCTGCACAGAGTCGGGGCTCTGTAAATGCAGCTGACAAATGAATGCCAGAGCAGATGGGAGCGCCTGGGGATACTAGGATGATTGAAGCCTGGTCCCTGCCCTCCAGGAGCTCACAGTCCCCTCGTCAGGGAATGAGGCAGGACACAATCTGGTGCTCAAGTGAGAGACTCAGGGAACAGAAGTCCACCCAGAGGCTTGCATGATCCCAGGCTGCCTCGAGCATCTGGAGAAAGGGCTGGGTCGCTACCAAGGGAGGGTAAGGAGGGGCGCTTCCGGGCTGGGAAGTGTGGGCTGGGGTGGGTTTCCGGTCGCTCAGTGGGGGATGCAGGCGATGCTGGGCTGTGAACAGTTCCCGGGCTGTGTCTCCTGGAGCATGCAGTTGGGTGAGGAGTCCCTGGGGTTGAATGGGTCACCCTCCTCTCACCCGAGTTCCATCCAGACTCCCTGGGTTTTGCTCAAGGAATTAGAGCAGGCTTTTTGAGTTACAACACAGACTATTCTCCTCTGTACAATACAGTTGCTATTTCCTCATCAAGATGTCTGCAAGGATGAAAACAGATAAGGGCTATCACAGAGCATCAAGTGTGAGGCCCCTGGAAGCACAAAGCCGACTGGAGTGCCCATTCTCTTGCTCCTTTTCCTTTACATCATCAACACTCAAAAAAAAACAAACTCAGAAGAGCCGGAAGGCAGTTTGTTTTCTAGTCATACTCTGATTCTTCTCTTTGGCAGGGAAGGCTTTAAGTTAAGCCAAGTTTCTGACTTTGTGTTCAGAATGCCTATGCTCTGACCCCCTATGGCCTGGCAGGAGGCACGCCATGACACTGTGGAGTGACTAATGGGGCAAGTGCGTTCTGTCCGAGTGGAATGGTATAACCCCTGGCCCTGTGCAGTGTCTGCCCTTCAATGGCCAACCTGCTTCTCAGGCCCTGGCTCGGGCTAAGGTGGAGATGGGGGCTGGGTGTGAGTGACACACTCATCTTAACTTGATGACCCTTTGAAGGAAAGACAGGATGTTCTTTTAGCCTAGTGGGCTCTTCATCTATCTGTCCTTCTGTTCATCTATCCACTGATCCATCCATCCATCCATCCATCCATCCATCCATCCATCCATCCATCCATCCAAGTATCCATCCATCTACCCATTGTTTCACCCACCCATCTACTCACCTATTCACCCACCCATCTGTCCATCCATTGACCATCTACCCAGTCACCCATACACTTATACCTCTATCTAGCCACCTTTGCACTCACTCACCCATGTCTCTACCTGGCCACTGTCCATCTCTATCCCATCCCATCCATCCATCCATCCCATTCCATCCATCCATCCACTCACTATTTACTGAGTCAACACTGTGACTCTGCTGCTAAACAAGATAGACCTGGTCACCACGTTCAAGTTGCTAATAATTTGGCAAAGAGGAGGCAGACCTTACACAACCAGTTGCCTAATTAACTATCTAGCTGGCAACTAGGATAAGAGCCATGAAGGAAAAACGCAGGGATCTATGAGGCAGTATAGCTGGAGCACCAACTAGTCTGGAGAAGCAGAGTCAAGGAAGCCTTTATTGAGGGAGAAACATTTCATTCATTCATTCATTCATTCATTCATTCATTCAATATATTTAGGAATTAACTATGCCCTTTCATCTGTGGAAGTCATCTCGGCCATTTCAGGCCCGGCTCACAGCAGCAGAGCAGGTCTGAGACGTGTGCTCTGCCTGGCCGTGTTTGGGGGCTTCGACCACCACTGGGTGTGGCCGTTGCTCCTAGCTCTCGGACAATGGTGTCACCCCCTCCCATGAATTCTAATCCAGCTCTGGGAAGACTGGTACCAGGAGAAGAATGGGGGAGAGACAAACAAACTAAGGCTTGGAGAGATGTGCCAGAAGGGAAGAAGGAAGACTTTCACCTTGACATCATGTTCAAATAATCGCTGCTACTGAGAAGGAAATACAGATGGCTCTGAAGCGTATGAAAAGATGCTCAACTGAGCTCATAATTAGGGAAATGCAAATTAAAACTGCACTGAGATAGCGTTTGTCACCTGTCAGGTTGGCAAAGCTCAAAAAAAGCTCGATAACGCGGCGTGTTGGTGAGGGAGAGGAGCAAGAGGTCGTGTCGCACTCCGCACTGGGAACGTAAACGGATACACTCTTTATGGAGGGCAATTTAGCAATATCTGTCAAAACTGTATACCCTCTGACCCAGTAATTCCACCACTAGGAATTTATCCTACCAAGAGCCTGCACATGTGTGAAATGGAAGGCGTGCCAACAAGAGCTAATATTTATGGAACCCTGACCACGTGCCGGGCGTAGTTCTAAATGCGTCGCTTGCATTAGCTCGCTCAGTGAACACGGTGGGCCCAGGTAGGTGCTATACGGCTCCCCATTTCTGACCTCTCGCGACAGCCACGTTTGTACTAACAAAAGATGGTAAGCTACTCAATGCCCACCGAGAGGAGGATGGTAAAACAAGTGTGGTCTATCCATGAAATGGGATGACAGGCACATGAAGAGCAATTTCTTAAGTCAGAGTTTCAAGTCAAAAAGGGAAGATGCAGAATGCAGCTTAGGTGGAATACGCAAGAACTTATGTCTTGAAAAAAGACGTTCGTGTGTGTGTGTGTGTGTGTGTGTGTGAATTCCATAAAGCATCTCTGGAAAGATATACAGGAAACTGGTAACAATGGTTGCCCGTGTGGGTGGGTATTTAGGGAACTGGAGAGCTGGGGACGGGTAGGAGGCCTGCCACCACTTTCCTTTTTATATCTTTAAAACACTTTTTAACATAAGTTTTTATTTGGGAATAATTTTAGGCTTACAGAAGTTGCAGTTAGTACCAAAAGTCTTCACGTACCCCTCTTCCAGCTTTTGTTACCCCTAATATTATCATCGTGCATTGCCGTGGTCCATTTGTCACACAGATACATTGCTATTGACTAAACTCCAGCCTTTCTTCGGATTTCATCAGACTAGTTTTCCTACTCATGTCCTTTCTCTGTTCCAGGACCCAGACCAGGTCCCACATTGCTTTTAGTCATCATGACGCCTCACTCATGAATTCCTTAGTCTGAATTTTGAGTCAGACAAATATAGTCTCAATTTTAAAATAAATAAAAGGAAAATAAAAGGAGAAACAAACCTCCTAAAATCCGCAAACAGCAAAAACAGAAAACATTTTGCGGATGCCAAAAAAGACCCCACCTCCTGCCTTCTTCTCACCCTTGGAAGGTGGTGCTGGTGGGTGATCCATATGCTCACCCATTCCTTCTCGTCTGCAGGCGAGGCCTCCTCCAAAAAGCCTTTCCAACCAGGAGCTCAGCGTGCTCTATCCTGGTCCCCTGGGAGGCTGCATGAATCTCTCTTACACAGCACTTATCACCGCCTGCCTTGTTTCATGGTTATTTATGTATGTGCCTGTCTCCCCAAGGAGCCCGCGGGCTTCCAGAGGAGGGGACAGGGTCTGTGAGCCCTCTGCCTTCCCTCCCTGGTGTCTGATAGGATGCTTGACTCATACACATTTGCTGAATTGACATCTCAGCCCCTGATGTCAGAAGGAGGAGGGATGCATTTAGGGAGCTATAATAGAAAGGACTGATCAGTACTTACCGCGATGGGTTGGCGACCCACAACAAATGATGAGGACAAATGGCAACAATAATAAGGACAATACTAATAATTATAATAACAAGTTTGATGGCTGAATAATTTAAATGTAGCTCTTTCCAGAGATGATCTCATATAAGAATAACGATAGCTCTATGAAGCAGGCATGATTGGGATACCCATTTTATATTTTTAAACCGAGGCTCAGGGAGATGGAGTGACCCACCCAGGGTCCAGAGTGCTGCTGGGATTCATACTCAGGATGAATCTGACACTATGGCATGCAGGGTTTTTTCATTTTCGACATTTTACCAATGAAACTGAGGCTCAGAGAGGTGAAGCAACCTGCCCAAGGCCACCCAGTGAGTAAGAGGCAGAGCTGAGATTTGAACCTGGGTCTGGCTGACTCTAGTCTTGCCCACACTGTTCTTAAAGACCCATCCCAGAGCCCAGAAGCCTGGTCAAGGGACCTGAGACTTTTGAATGGGGTGGGGCCTGCCGATCACCCAGCTTCAGTCTCTGATGGCCCCGCCCAGCCCTGCTCACCTGGCACATGAGGATCAAAGGCTCCCGGAACTCGGCCTGGCAGATGGCACAGATATCGCCGGCTTCTGTGCACTGCTGCCCAGTGGCCCGGACGCCATAATTCTGTTTGCAGGAAAGGAGAGAGACAAACACAGCTGTGGACCCTCGCTGGAGCAGTACCCTCAGAGGCATGGCGACATCTGTTTCCGGCTCCTGGCTCCTGGTTCCTGTGATTCTGGCCAGGACCACATGAACCAGACTCACCTGAGAGGTGCAGAGAAGCTTCAGGGCTTTCCTAACTGCGCCCACACGGCCACAGATGTCGAAGGACTGAAAGGAGAGAGGGGTGATGGTTGAAAAGTATCCAAGGCTCATACAGGTTCTCTCTCGCCACTCCAGAGCCCCCATGGGCCCCCTCATCTTTGCCTCTGAACTCTTCATTTCCATCAGTTTTGCTTGGCTTTGGTCTTCCTGCCTTACATCAACAGCATCCCAGGCTACCTGGGCCAGGATAGCAAATACAGGCATTTTCCCATTCCCAAGCCCAAGGCAGGCATTGCGAATCGAGCACAGCACTCTTCTTCTGAGGCCAGCCAGGGCCTGATAATCCTTCTCCATCTCAGGCTCCAGTCAGCCCTGACGAGTTGACCAGGATCAGCAGGCAAGATGGATTGCCTGGCTAGTCCTGCTAGGAGGAGGAAAGAGAAGAACACATGCATCCCCCCAGTATTCTCTAAAGCCAGAAACAGAGAAAGAAAGAGAAAAGAGGAGGGTGTACCTATTGTTAGGGTCGGGGGGGTGGGGTGCTGATTTGTACTAATGATGAAGAAAGAAGCATCCATACTGATCTGCAGAGTGGAGGGTGTGCAGTTTAAGAGGAACAGAAAACAAGCTTGGTGGCAGTGTCGTTCGTGGGCTAAGAGCTGCAGGCTTTGGAGGCAGGCTGACTGGGTTTGACGTGCGTGCTGTTCTCTCTGGCTGAGCGACACCGGGCAAGTTACTTCTCTCTGAGTCTCAGCTCCCTTGCCCATAAAATGGGAGTAGTAACAGTAGGTATCTTGAAGCGTTGTTGTGAAGAAGACTATGTGAAATGGTAAATCATATGGTGAGCTTTATGGGCAAGAAATTAGGGTGGATTTAACCATAAAAAAGAGTGAAGTACCAATACGTGCTACAATGTGGAGGGACCCTGGAAACATGACGCTAAGGCAAAGAAGCCAGACACACAAGGTCACGCATTGTATGATTCCATTTATATGAAATGTCCAGGACAGACAAATCCATAGAGACAGAAAGAAGGATAGTTGTTGCCAGGGGCTGGGGGTGGGAGGTTGGAGGAATGGGGAGTGACTGCTTAATGGATACAGGGTTTCTTTTCGGGGTGATGAACACGTCTTGAAAGTAGATAGAGGTGGTGGTGGCACTACGCTGTGAATCTGCTAAATGTCACGGAGTTTGGTGTTGTATGAATTTTACCTCAATTGAAAAAAAGAGAGATTAGAGTGCTATTCCAAGTTCCCCACTTGTTCCCCAGGCCCAGCCAGTACATGGGACCCTCGGGGCACCTCACCTTGCAGAGGCTGTAGAGGATCATGAGGACCCCTCCCAGAAAGTAGCTGTTGGAGGTGTCATCACCCATGATGTATTTATACCACAGCTGGATGGGGACAAGTGATCGGAACAGCTGGCTCAACTCCTCGATGACCAGATAGAACTTTCCCTGCAACCACACAGAAAGCATCAATTATTATTAGCAGTAAAGACCCAAAGGACCCAGTCGGGGGTGAGGGGTGGGAGGGGGGCGCAGCCCGGGCAGTAATGACATTCCAGGTCACAGGCAGGCCATTAATCAGCTTTGCAAAGCACTCANGGGGGAAGGGGGGAGGGGGCCCCACAGCTGACAGAGCTCTTAAGAACAAAACAGCTGGAACAGCGACCATCAGCTGAGGGGCAGGCTGGCTCAATCTTGGTCTTCTCCCTCTTGAGGATGCTGGGCATAGGGGAGAGCTTCATAACGGAATTCAGACCAGTGTGCCCAGGAGTGGTGCTGGGAAACAGAAGTGTAGAGGGGACTGGGAGTAGAAGGCAGGCTAGAAGAATGCAGGCCGGTAGGGAAAGAGGTAGAAACAGAGGAAAAAGAGAATGTGGGCAGAAGAGACGAGAGAAAGGACAGAGTTAGAGGCCAGAAGGAAAAGGGAACCCAGGAGTGAGAGACCAGGCAAATGAGGTCAGGGAGGAGGAGCAAAGCAGAAGAAAGACATCTTCTTATTATTAAGCACTCGCTATGGCCAGGAATTGCACATCAAATGCTCCCCTAGTGGGGCACTTGTGATCTATTCCCATTTCTCAGATGAGAAAGCTCAACAGAGTCAAGGGAGGGGGGAATTGAGTGTGGGAGACTAAGCTAGTGAAAGAATTACAAGATGGAAAAGAACAGGGCCAGCTGGGTGGCTCAGTTGGTTAAGAGCGCAAGCTCTGAGCAACAGGGTTGCCGGTTCGATTCCCACATGGGCCAGTGAGCTGCACCCAAGCTGTGCCTGCGCTGAGCTGCCAACGGGTGGCCGGATGGCTCAGTTGGTTAGAGCGCATGCTCTTAACAATTAGGTTGCCGGTTGGACTCTTGTGTGGAATGGCACCCTCCACAACTAGATTGAAAGCGGCAACTGGACTTGGAGCTGAGCTTGCGCCCTCCACAACTAAGATTGAAGGACAACAACTTGACTTGGAGCTGATGGGTCCTGGAAAAACACAATGTTCCCCTTCCGCAATTCCCCAACACTGTTCCCTTCCCCAATTCCCCGATAAAATATTTAAAAAAAAAAAAAAGGATGGAAAAGAACAGAAACTAGCAGAAAAAGAGAACTAGGGGCTGGCTCGCAGTTTGGTGGTGAAAGTTTCTCTGTGAAACACATTACCTGCCTGCTGCCCCCACACTCTGATAACCCTACGTTATGGACACTATTAGGCCCTCCAGTCAACAGGCAAGGAAAGAGGCTTGCAGAGGCCAGGCAGGTCGTCCAGGTTTGTGGACAGAGGTAGAGCCAGGATTTCAATCCGGTCTGACTTCCCATCTCCTGCTTTGAGCCATCATGAGGAACAGAAACAAGGAGACTCCAGGAGATCAAGTGAGATGTAAGGAAAGAGAAGAAAAGATACAAGGTGTGTGTGGTGGGAGAAAACTGAAGAGGGATGAGAAAATTCAGAATGGGTCCGGTTGGCAGGAGTACTGACCAGAAAGGTGAATGAAGGAGACTTCTGGGTACTTGCAATGTTCTCTATCTGTGCTGCCCAATACAGTAACCCCTTGTCATGTGGCTATTAAGCACTTGAAATATGGCTGAATCTGAATTGAGATATACTGAAAGTACAAAATATACAGGGAATTTCAGTCTTAGAAAAAACAAAAAGGTAAAGTATCTCATTAAAATTTTTTTATATTGATTTCATGTTGAAATGATTAATACTTTGGACATACTGGGATAAAGAAAATATATTATTAGATTAATGTCACCTGTTCCTTTTTACTTGTTTAATGTGGCTACTAGAACATTTTAAATTGCCTATGTATGTGGCTTGCATTATATTTCTATTGGAGAGCGCTAATATCTAGAAACATATGGACATACATATGTAAAAACTCATGGAGCTTTGTATACTTATAATTAGAGCACTGTACAGTACGTAATTTATATCTCAAAATAAAAAACAGAAAAAAAGAGAAGAGCGAGCCAGGAAGAAGANCTCAACAAATTCTATTTCCCTTCCTCCCTTTGCCCTTGGACAAGTCCCTCAAGCTTTCTGTGGCCTGTGTTATATTGGGTCGTCAGAAGTCATGATGCATTTTTGCATAGAAAACATAAAAAAAATACGTCATGACTTTTCCGACAACCCAATAAAATGAAGATGAAAATGGCCCCAGCCTGTTGTGTCTAATCAAGTTAAACATACACCTACTTATGATCCAGCAATTCCACTCCTCGGTGTGTGCCCAAGAGAAATGAAAACATACGTCCACTTGTACGCTAATGGTCGCAGCAGCTTTATTCATACATAATCTTCCTAAACTGGAAACAGCCCAAAAGTCCACCCGTGGAGGAGTGGATAAACAAATTGTGGCATATTTATACAATAGGACACTACTTGGCAATAAAAATGAACAAATAGCTGATCTACTCAACAATGTGGATGAAACTCACAGACATTACATCAAAGGAGACAGCTATAAAAGAGTATACATTGTATAATTCTGATGTTTATGAAGTCCAAGGATAGGTAACACTAACGTGTAGTGATAGAAATCAGATCAGTGGTTGCCTGAGGTGTGGGGGGAGGGCTGACTGCAGGGGGGCGTCAAAGAATTTTGGGGAGTGATGGAAATATTTTATCTTGTGATTGGGATGGTGGTTACATGGGTGTATATATTTGCCAAAATTCATTTAACATACGCTTCAAATCTCTGCATTTTGTTGTTTTGTTTTGTGTTTTAATTGGGGAACAGTGTGTTTTTCCAAGACCCATGAGCTCTAAAGTAGTTGTTTCAATCTAGTTGTGGAGGGTGCAGCTCAGTGGCCCATGTAGGGATTGAACTGGCAACCTTGGTGTTATGAGCACTGCACTCTAACCATCTGAGCTAACCAGCCGCCCCCATTTTATTGTATTTTTAAATTATACCTCAATAAAACTGATGGAAGCCAATGAACAAAGAAACATTGAAACAAATAGCCCTGTCCCCGGCATGCATAGCCTTAAAATGTAAATAATCTTTGCTCCAGCAATTCCACTTGTAGGAACTTATCCTAATAAAATAATCAGGGGTGTGTGCTAAGATGTGCCCATAGGAATGGTCAGTGCCGCATTCTTTGTAACAGCACAAACAAAAACAAGTAACAAACCAAACATACAAAGAGAGGGTCTGATTATCGTAGAGATCTATGATGGAAAGCCATACAGCCATTCGAACATTATCCTGAAAAATAGGTACTTCACAGGAAAGAAACCCAGGACACATACCCACAATCAAGGTTAACATCCCTGATAGGATGCACTGAGAAGAATACAGTATCATCTCTGTGGTATTCTGGTCAAAAACTCATAATCCCAATTGAATCAGGAGAAAACAAGAGACAAAGCTCAAATCACTGTCTACAAAGTAACTGTCCAGCACTCTTCGGAAGTGTCAAGGTCACAAGAGACAAAGAAAAGACCAACGAATTGTCAGATCGTAGATTAAGAAACATGACATATAAATGCAATGTGGGATTTTGGATTCGATCCTGGGGTAGGAAAAATAAGTGAGTGGGGCAGTTGGCAAAATCTGAGCACGGTCTATAGTTTAGTACTGATATGGGTGCAGGCTTCCTGGCTTCGCTACCTGCACCATAGTTCAATCAGATAGTAACATTAGGGGAGGCTGGGTGAAGGGTATATGGGACCTTGCACTCTTTTTACAACTTTCCTTTAAGTCTAAAATTATGTCAAAATAAAAAGTTAAAAAAGAAATTATCCTGGTGATGGATATCTATTGACTCAGGGAAAGGCTCATGACTCTAGTGCCAAGTGGAAAAGGTACAGAAGGCAGAAAACACTCCTTTTCTTTGTGTTTTTCTGCCTTTTCTAATTTGTTTGTACTGATCATGTGATACGTTTAAATTACAGGGGGAGAAAAGGTTATAAAAACATGCTACGCATCCATCAAATGGATGATGTATGTGGAAAGTGGATACAGAGATTTTAGAGCCACCCAGTTATATTCCATCTTGATGGGCTGGACACAGGCCCCTTGGAAGGGGACCCCTTGAAGCAGATGTGCCCACTTCTGGTAAGGACCAAGGAAGGGCATCCAGTCGACCTCTCATCCCACTGCCTGATCTCTGTAACTGTTTGGCTGCCTCCTCATTGTGAGGTCATTGCTTCCCAAGGGGCCATCTTCCCCACTCTGGACTCCCAGCAGTCCCTGATACCTGGAAATATTCCCCTGGAGGGAAATACTGGTTTCCTTCTGCTGCCTGTGGGAAGGTGGCGGTGACTGGGGAGCACAGATGCGGGGGATGGCCACCATGTTTGTTTTACATGCCAATGGTGTGATGGATGCTGGAGCAATGGTGCAAGCAGCTCAGTGGATGGCTAGGGCTGCTGAACTCTGTCCATGTCCTGACAGCAGGCCCCAAGCTCTGCAGAATACCTATGCTGTGAGCTCTGTTTTTCTGAACCACCCAACCTCAGCTGCCCCATGCTTCCCTCGCTGCTCTCAACTGCTCCCAACCACTGCAAGTTCCATCTCATTCTGGACCAACAGCCCAATCTCTCCCAGCTTCCAACTTTAACTTGCTCCTCCTTGAACCTCCGAAGTGTACCTCCAAAGAACTCTTTTCCTGTCTTCCTTTCTTCTTAACATCCGTCCATCCATCCATCAATCCATCTATGCATGCATGCATCCATCTATGCATGCATCCATCTATGCACCCATCCATTCATCCACCCAACTATACATCCATCCACCCATCCATGCATGCATGCATCCATGAATCCATGCATCCATCCGTCTTTCTTTCCTTCCCTTCTTTTTCCCTCCCACTCATTGATGGCCCCTCTTTCCTCTTCCTCCCCCCTTTACTTCCAAAACCGATGATGGGAACTCCAACACATCCCAGAATTTCAGAGCAGGCTCAAGTACCAGCTTCGCAGCCCTTCTTTCAGTTGCTTCACTATATCGACCAAGCT